TAATAATATATATAGTGTGTGTGTGTGTGTGTGTGTGTGTGTGTGTGTGTGTGTGTGTGTGTGAGAAAGAGAGAGAGTGACGCCAGATCTTATAGACTTTTCGCGGTGCCCTAGCTTGACTATATTAGGCGAGGCCAGGTAAAATTTGTATCAGACATTTGAGACGACCATGTTTGTGTACAGTTATAAGAGTACCAGTAGATGATGTGTGTTTCGGTCCGCCTTGTCAGATTGGCGCGTATTCACATTTCCATAAAGCTGCTGCCCATCATAGCGTGACAAATCGGACTGCTTACATAACACGACGATGGATATTCTGATAGTGCCAAATACTGAAGATGAGATATATGTATACCAGTAATTCTGGGAACGCGTAGATACTGTATGCTAATATACATATGCGTACATGGATCCCTGGAGGTGTTGTATTCGTGTGCAGTCCTGCCACTTTGAGCATACAGATGCAATATCCATATACACATATACACGCAATCAATCACTTCATAGGCAACGTCATCGAAGAATAGACATATGTGTCCGGGGCACCTATGCGATAAGTGAATGCCGGTTTAAACCACAACGAGAATAAATGCGTGTAGATGAGGTAGTGTACTTCATTCGTACAAAGGTTTAGGGTTGTAGTGTTTCAGGGTTTTAGCGAATATATGAGTGTAGATGTAATAGTGTACCATATTTAATATTGCACCACATCATTCAGGATGAGCCTTTCTGCAGGATTGAGCGCGAACATGCAAACGACTGTAACAGGCATACTTCAATGAAGGATCCAAGCAAAAAAAAATTGTCATACTGTACGACCATTGCAAAGAGACGAACCACGTCTACGACCTGTGCGAAAATCCGGTACCTTGTACGGCCCGTGCTAATATTTTAATCTCCTGTGACAGAAATTGCGATGTCCTGTGCATACCACCCTATCGCGGCCCAACAGCGCTCTCTCGACTTCACAGGTGAAGTCAGTGTACCAAAGAGCATGTGCGATATAGATGGCTGTGCGAGTTGATCGCTACCAGCTACTATCAATCTAGTCAACCAAAACAAGAGAAAAACTTAAAGCGATACACTCCCATAGTCAACATGCACATATAAATGTGATAGGTTCCTTGCTGCTAGCCACAGTCCTATCACATACATTTATACCTACACACGTTTACCTACCACACCATCAAGGACCCGCAACGCTCTCTCCACCTCGATCGTGAAGTCTATGTGGCCCGGGGTGTCTATCAGATTGATGTGTGTGGGCTCTTTACTGCCAGCCACAGTCCAATCAAACGAAATGGCAGCGGATGTGATGGTGATGCCTCGCTCTCTCTCCTGTGTCATGTAGTCCATGACCGTATCGCCATCGTGTACCTCTGCGTGCGATAGGTGGGCACATACATGAAGCAATATAGGTGGTGAATAATTTTGAAATAGACTAGGGTAGGTTAACAGTAGCTGTATACGTCATTGCATTGTTATATTGTGTGCTGTGGATAAAGCCTCTCCCTCTTTCCTGCGTAGTGTAATCCATGGCCGTATCGCCGTCGCGCACCTCTGTACGCGGTACATGGACACCTTGAAGTAGTATGGGTATATAAATGATAATAAAACTCTATAGAATAGGATAAAAGTAGCTGTATACGTCACTATATGTGCTATTGTACACGTCACTGTAGTGATAGTGTTATACTGTATGTGGCGAATAAAGCCCCTCCCTCTTGTTTGCGATAAGGTGGGCAAATATAAGTAGTAGCATGGGTGATGAAAGATAATACAATAGGTCAGGTTTCGTTGCGAGTAGCTTATACCTTACTGTAGTGCTACAATGTATGAGATAAGAAAGGGGTTTCCTTCCTTTCCTGCGCAATGCATTCCATAACCGTGTCGCCTCGTGGACCTCTGATTCTCATATGTAGGTACATACGAGACATAAAAGGCTGTGTAGATTAAATCCGATAGCCCAGGGTGCATCACAGATAGATCAAATACGCGAATGTAAGTGATATCACGAACGATTGCTTCATTTTTAGATAAGGTGGTCAATATGAAAGTGTCCTCATTGGGGTTTTAATATGATAGTTGTTTCGAAAAATAAACACACTATTGAAAAACGCTCCAAAGTAAGTCATGGACGATTACACATCCATTAGTCTTTGTGAATGTTCTACATGGCTGAAACAAGTACTCGGATATTATGAATGTGTATGAAGAGTCTCTCGCGTATGTACGTGAACAATCATGTCTTTAAATGTTGAGATAGTATACAACATCTCACCATCACCTCACTACTAGCCATCTAATAACCTCTTACTTATTCCACCCTATACGTTGCGTAAATCGCAAATTACGAGAATCTTCTTCACGTACCTCCAATATGGTTATGAAAACCAGAGTAGTACAGCATACGCTCGACTGTGGTGGTTTTCCCCGCATCTATGTGCGCCATGACTCCGATGTTTCTGGTTGCACTCTGTGTGCTGCAGGAGCGCATCTGCGGACAATTGAGACAAAATGCTCTAGTTGCTTATCAAGGTATGGTAACATACATCAGTTGCTTATTTACGTGTGGTATAATACCGGTTTCTTGATATCGCATTGTAATATACATTAGTGGCTTATTTACGTTAAATATACATATGCTATTATCCAGATTTTTATTTACGTTCGATGTGATACAACAGTCCGTTATCTGGATCTTTGCGTACGTCTCCGCCTGGGATTAACAACCCATACTGATAGGTATTTCAGAAACAACAGTGTACGTCATGATTCGCGCAACAGTATCGGATAGTCCGCGTTCACAGTACGCATATCGCGTAGTTCAGGCGTTTGTTGTACATATATATGTGCTAGGTATCAGTAGATACGTGCGTATTTATCTCAGGAGACAGAATTCATACATTCCACAATATATACATACGTATATTGAAACAAAATGTGAGGACATTCCAACAATTTAGAACTACTCGGCATCGAATGAAAGAGTCGGTGAGGCGTCAAAACCAACCAATACACATTAAAATGAATAAATGTAAGTACATTGTTTAGAGCTGTACATAGGGTAACTTCCAAACCAAATAACGCACATTCAGCATCTACAAATATATATATATATATATATATGCATGCACATATACACACACTCACATACACACACCCTCTCTCTCTCATTCTTTCTCACATACATACACACACATATATATATATATATATATATACATATGTGTGTGTGTGGTGTGTGTGTGTGTGTGTGTGTGTGTGTGTGTGTGTGTGTGTATGTGTATGTGTGTGTGTGTGTGTGTGTGTGTATTGCGACACGGCTTTCCACTCGGGCACTACTGTGTAGGTGTGTAAGGAAGGGACTCTCGCCACTATAAACCAAACGAGTGCTTGCAGCTATACGCTTGCTGAACATCCCCCTGGCATAAGTCTCCATATGCTGCAAAAGGACCGATATGCGTGCAAGTACGTACCTGTTGAACAATCGTACTGAATTCGCTGCCACATAGTCCTTTTATATTGCACCGGTTCCGTGACTGCCAAAGTGTATGCATGAGCTTTCGGTCGCACGAACGTACACCTAAAGCCACACGTACCAGGTATTTCGACATGTTAGCGTGAGGTCTAATGTCCAAGTATGCCCGACCTAATAGTCTCATAATAAGAGAAGTAGAGCTGCCTTGTGTTTGGTAGAGTTGTATTGTAATTATGAAGTTGTATCGGTCGGAGCCTAGTTCTCTTGTATTTCGTAAAGCTATTTTGGTTTGTGCAGAATTAGCTCGTATATAGTAGTAGTGATGTTTAGTTTTATAGTGAAAGTTGACTTGTCTTGTTTTTATACATAGATACGTTCTGTATACGTCAAGAGGTCCAATGTCTTCACTGCACACAAGGGCTATGTATTTAACGTCTAAAATATTACTGCGGCAAGCTTTGATGTACAGTTTGCAGTCACAGTCACCTTTAGTCTGTGGGTGACTATACGATACACGATGTGCGTGAGATACGCACACGTGTGCATTAACTCTGGGTAGGTCGCCTGGTTAGTTCTGTATAACCCTATTCTCTACTATGCAATTTTATGTTAAATATATATTCATTATATGTATATATAATATATTGTATTTACTAACACTCTCGTGTGTTTAGTTTGCAAAAGAAAGAGAGGAAAAGAAATACAAGCTAGCAATGTTAGTGTCCGTATATAGATATATTTCATTTTAGCGGGCTCTGGACTATTCACGTGGCTTTTTTGTCTTCTCTCATGCGATATGGGCTCTATTTAAAACATGTCTGGCTATGCCGCTATGGCAGGTGTTTGACCCAAAAAAAAAGTATGGAAATATTTTCAAATAATAGTTGCTTTCTACATTTTCATTTATACTTACATTACGAGACTAACACACGCTTGAAAATCTTTAACTTCTTATATTCCATTATTCTTACCTAGGCTGCATGTGTATGCCGTATTCAGATAGGAAAGTTAATACTCCCATATGCTTTTGTAATCAACATATATACTCGACTGCAAGATAGTACTGAGATGCAGCTTCAGACAGTACATTAATAAGATATATTAAGCTGCAGCCCAAGCAAGGTACACATACACAAACATACACAAATATATTCGTATTCACACATCATGGAATCCACTAGTACAGCACCGCAGAAAGGAGCTCTGCATGCACTCACCAACGAGCCCCATTCCGGTCTAGGCGAACAGACTGCCAACCGAGTAGGAAGAAAACTGGGCCAGGGCAAACGGAAGATATGGGCTGGAGTGCAAACATCCGATGTATGTTGATCTACGAGACTGCATTGTATATATTATGCAAATATGTGTATACATATTTGAGGATCAGTTTGTATGTATACATATATACATCATAATTAGTATATAAGTTCGTACGCATAATCGATATAGATTACTGTGGCATATATGCCAGTGCACCCGACTTTGCTTGTGTATGGAATTAGACATGGTCTGGACGAACAGGCTGCCAACTGAAAATGTAGAAAAATGCAAACATCCTATGTTGTATTAAATATCTGGCGCTG